CAGCACTGTATTAGATGATGTATTATTACTAGCAGACTCACAGTCATCTTTACAGAAGAAACTAATTTTATTATCTGATTATGTTAAAAATGTTTTTATTAATTTTCAGAAAACAAAGGGATTATGTTTCATAATGGAGGAAGACTTCATAAAACTGATAAAATTTTTATTAACAATGCATAAATTAATTTTGTTCTTCATTTTAAATATTTAGAATTGAATTTTTCCTCGTCTGGAGTTTTTAATTATCATTTGGATAAAATAGAGAAAGATATACTTCAGAAGATATCCTGTCTTTTGACAATACATACAAGAATGAGGATGAACACTATTAAAGCAATGTTTAAACTTTTTGATGCTATATTAGTCTAAATTGAGATATTTGATTCCAGTTTGGGGTTTAGATCTTATTGAGAAAATTGAGAAGGTACAATTAAAATATTTAAAAAGATTATTTAAGCTCAAATGTTCAGTACCGAGAGGAGTCTCTGCTTAAAATTAACATTTAAAAAAATATTTTGTTGTTTTGGTCTAAGATTATTGATCTTCCTCATCATGATCTTCGTTATTGTGTTTGTGATCCTTTATTGAAGAATGGAAATTCAAGTAAAAGAAATTGGGTGTTATCAATTAAAAATATACTTGATAAATTAGGTCATTCTTGTATTTTCAAATCATTCACGGCTGTAGTTGAGAAACTTATTTGTATGATACAAGACAAACTAGAAATGATCAATTATGGAATCAAGATATAATTTATAGCAATTATGTCTTAATAAATACTGGATTATGTTTAGTGGTCAATATATAGATACTTCTAATGGGAATTTTTGCTTTTATTGTATTACCAATCACAATTGTATATTAACACACATTTTGCATTGTGCCCAGTTTTATATTTGTTAAAAAGAGAAATTCTCACTGACAATTTTTTAAAGAATTATTTATATGATAGAAATATGTTGTTGATAAAGTTATATAAATTGCATAACTTTTTTGTTAAATTCTTGTATTATTTGTGTTAACTGTAAGTACACAAAAGTACAAGTAAGTATTTAAGTAAGAGTTTTAAGTACAATTAAGAGACTATTATATGGCTACTTATTTATTAATTTTGATTTATTTCTCCCCCTTGTATGGAAGTACTTGTATCAATAACAAATAAATTAATTAATCCAAAAAGGCTGGGAAACACTACTTTAGAACACCAGTGTTCTTAACATTGGTGTTCTAAAGCATCATCAATACATTATTGTTATTAAATCAAAATGATAAAATAATCTCTTGGCATTTAAAGCAAAATGAGAAAACTTAAACCTGGTGTTGTAGGCTATATAAATGGTAAACATACTGCTATTAAAAATCACTTTTTATTTCAACAGAAATACATATTTTGTTATCCTACAAGCAGTATATGTAATGAAAAAAATAGCATTCATACATTGCTACATAGATGAAGCTGGTTCAATTCATGATGCATGTATTTTTGTAATCATCATTATATGAAAAAATAAGCACAGGTAAAGGATTTCCAAATGATGATCACATTTTAGGTGATCATTCCTATCTTTTGTGTGAACATCTGTTAACACTATACAGAGATAATGGAAATGCTACTTCTGTGCAATATTACCTTATAAAAAAAATTTTTCTACATGCAGAAAGATAATTGAGTGAATTCAATGACTCAAACTGGGTATATGTAATTAAGCACTATACAAAAAAACCAATATCCAGCAGCAACTAAAAAAATCTACAAAAGCAAATGTTTCACCTGTATTACACAGTCATTGTCAGGCTAAAAAGCCTTTGGAGTTTGAATGCAGCTGTTAATGCAAAATGGCCTCTCCCCTCTTTCTCTTATGTTACCCTCTTTTTAGCACATGGACAGCAATCACAATTCTGAGAAATTCTTTGTTTTGAATTGTTTTAACAGCTGCATTAAAACTCCAAAGGTCTTTTAGCCTGACAATGATCATTTAACACTGGTGAAAATGTTTGCTTTTATAGATTTTTGTAATTCTTGCTGGATATTGGTTTTATGTATAGTGTTAAATTGAGTGTATATTTGCATATCTTTTAGGAAAACTTAGGCATTTAAAATTTCTGGATATGTACCAGATAGACTTTAATAGTAAAAACAATTAGGGGAGCATACATGCATTCTTTACAATTTTTGCATGAACAATCATGATGTGATGGAAGAAATTGGTGGTAATTTTAAACATGGGTTTGAAGAACCAATATCCAACCTGCATTGAGAAGAAAAGCTATAGTAAAGAATGATGATATTGCAAATGAAATATTTGCCAAAAGGTCTTGAACGAATAGAAATTAAATCTGTTTACTCGTATATCAACAGATCATGGGTATAGAACTATAAGCAGCCAACTGTTAAACAGCAATTTTCAGAAAACAAGATTTGAAAATTTGCTATTTTATGTAATTGTCTGAAATTTTACATATCTGCTTATGGTCCTAAATAGAACATGTTGAATATAATAGGAATACTCTATTATTGCAAAACTACAAAATTTAGAGTTAGCTACTTATAGTTTATACCCATAATATACTGGATATATGTTGATATAAAAAATGATATTTATTATACATATTATGTCATTGCAAATGAAATGGCCATTTTTTAAAATTTAAACTTCCCAACCTTGTAGTTCAACTTTTTTCCATGTGAACAGTGCTGTATGTTTGCAAATGGAATATGTGAATTTGAAAATGTAATCTCATTTATATGAGGGAGCTTCAAAAAGTTTGTGGAAAAAGGATAGTATGAAAAAACTATTTCAGTTATGATGTTTATTTTTCAACATAGGCTCCGTTAAGGTCGATACACTTCTGCAAACGTTGATACCAGTCTTTAAGTCCATCTGAGTAGAAGTGAGGGTCTTGTGATCTGAACCATGTCAGAGCAGCTCTCTTTACATCTTCAACTGACGGAAAATTGTTGCCTTTCAATGATTTTTTCAACTTTGGAAACAAAAAGAAGTCGGATGGGGCTAAATCAGGGCTGTAAGGGGGATGTCAAATGATTTCCCATCGAAATTCACGTAGCACAGCTCTTGTTTGATGAGCCCTGTGAGCAGGTGCATTGTCATGGTGGAAGAGGACACGTTTATGCAGCTTTCCAGGGCGTTTTTCCGAGATTCTTTTGGACAGTTTTCTCAAAATGCCTTCATAATAAGCAGATGTAATTGTCTTCTTGTTCTCGAGGAAGTCAACTAGCAAAATCCCCTCTGCATCCCAGAAGATAGTGGCCATGACCTTTCCTCTTGAACGTTCAGATTTTGCTTTGATTGGTCCACTTCCACCCCGAGGCAGCCATTGCTTTGATTGAATTATGTCCTGGGGATCGTACTGGTAGAGCCATGTTTCATCCCCTGTCACAATTCTTTGCAGAAAAGCTTCAGAGTCTCCATCCCACTTGTTCAAAATTTCCATTGAAAGATCTGCCCTTGTTTGCTGCTGATCTGGGCGCAACAGCCTTGGGACCCATCCAGCGGAAAGCTTGCTTAGTCCCAAACTCTCCACAAGAATTTTGTATGCAGAACCCACAGAGATGTTAAGTGTATCTGCTACCGATTCAGTGGTTATTCGTCTATCCTTTTCTATCAAGTCACGGACAGCATCAATGTTTTCCTCACACTCTGATGATGTTGGCCTGCCACAGCGTGGCTCATCTTCAACCTTGGTTTTTCCATTTCTGAAGTGACTTATCCATTTGTAGGTTGTTGACTTCTTTGGGGCATTATCACCATAAACTTGTTCCAGAGCATCAATGATTTGCTTATTCTTCCAACCAAGTTTCACCATGAACTTTATGTTTGTTCTGGTCTCGATTTTGTTGGATTCCATGTTGCTTGAATGATGCCTGACTTTCAACTGGCGGCGCTGTTCTTACCTGCATTTAAGGGTTCAGTTCATGTTTGAACATGTTATAACATGTTAGTACAAGAATGTTCAGGTGTATTAAAATCAAAATCCTTCCAAACAATTTTTAGTTACGGACTTTTTCCATGAACTTTTTGAAGCACCCTCGTACTGCAAGTTCAGCATGTTTAAGAGTACTTTTTCTGTCGGCATGAAAATAAAAAAAAATATAATAATTTTCTTATACAAGTATAAGCAGGGACATAATGCAGCTGAAGCAACCTGAAATATCAATAAAACTTTGGGTAAAGGTTCTGTGAGTGAGCAGACCACCAAGCATCGGTTCAAAAAATTTCATTCTGGGAATACAAATCTCAAAAATTTGCCTCGAAGACGCACTATCTGTCATCGACAAAAATTTTGAAGAGCATCATCAAATCGGAACATCGCCCGACTGTCCAGAAAATTGAACATACTGGGTGTTATTCATCCATTTCTTCACATCTAAACACATTAGGGAAAGTCAAGAAACTCAACAAATGGGTGCCACACGAACTCAGCAAGAAAGACGATCATCATTTAGAGGTCTGCAGTTTTAATTATTCGCCACAAAAACAAAAGTATTCAAATGAAATTCTTCCTCATCCATCTTATTCTTCAGACTTTTTGCCAACAATCGCCTTTTTTCTTTACATTTGGTCACTTTTTTGCAAGGAAAGTCTTCAAGGAAGAGGACACAAAAGGTCCTTTAATGATTTTTTGGCTTCTCATTCTCATGATTTCTATTGCATTGGAAAAAGTGTATTAATATTGGCAGAGACAATTTTAATTAAATTAATAAACATTAAAAGTCAGAAGTAAAAATCGGCCATTCATTTGCAACAATCTAATGTCTATAACGAATACCATTTTTATATATTATAATAAACAAAACGAAATTGTTCTTTCTTGCAAATATATTTATATTTCTTTATAATTATAAATTACTTACTTTAAATTAAATCGTAAAACATATATTAAGCTAAGCTTTAACTAAGCCTAAAGTCGTCAGTCCCACGATGTCGTCTGCTCTTTTAAATCTCCAACCGGGATGCAATCGTGTAGATGGCGCTGTTCGCGCGAAGACAAAATGGAGGATGGTAAGAGAAACGAGTGAATAGGATTAATTGTAATAATTAAATATTAAATAAAAACTCATTCATTTACTTAAATTTAAAAATATTATAGTAGTAATATTAATTAATCTGTACTTATCATTGGTTCTTTTGAAATTTGATTTTTTACATTTAATATAAAATTAATAAACAATATGCTATAAGGCTGTTAACATTTTATTCGGAGTTCGGATATTTTATATATCTATTTTACTGTGTAATATATTAATATTCGTGAAATTAATAAAATTATGAATATTTTATATATATAGATTTGACAGCCATACAAATATACGGTCTTTTCAAGTTGTAAACAGAAGCCTGTCAGGGAAAGATTAAAACTGATGTATTAAAAAATCAGTTTAATTAACTGTCATTTCACATTTAAATGTAGAGAGCATGACTTGTTAAACAATATCAATTATGAACATAATAATAATAATAATAATGTATTTTATATTTACAGAAATCGTTTAATGCAGGACATTTTTTGAAAATGTAAAACTTAAATTATTAACTTATTTATTAATTTTCAATGTATGAATTTGGAACACGTTCAAATATCCAAAAAATGTGTCTTTACCGTGGAAGATAAAATTAGTTTGGGATAATATATTTAGACCTGGCTATGCTAAAATTTAGTTTTTTATTTTTTGCAAAATTTCGTTTATATAAAACAAGAAATAGGGGAATAATTTATTAAAATTAAAAATAAATGTTTGTCGAATATTTAAGTAGCATTGTTTTGATGAACAGGCCTATGAAATGATTAGAAATTTGACATTTAGATTGCTGTGATTAAAATCTTAAGTATTAATTTTGTAATGATAATTTCAGATTCAGCCTATTTCGGATTTCTTTAAAATATAAATTATGTTTTTTGTGTGTCTCTGAATAGAATAATTGTAAAAAACAATGATAATAAAATCAATAATTTGTGAATGGGATAAATTTTTATATATGTATATTAAAAAACAACACAATTACATTTTATTTGTAAAAGTTAAAATCAATAAAAATTTATAAACAGGAAACTAAATAGCCTATTTAATGCTTAAGAACTATGTGATTTATCATCATTTACAAATTGTTCATCACATATTTGAAATATGTAGTTCCTCATCTAATGAAGATTACTATTGCAATGATTAGTCATCGATAATGTAAAATAATATGTCTTATAATGTAAGATTGGTTAGTTTTATCTAAGTTAATTATTTATGTCATTGATAATGATATAAAACATTTTAAAAATATTATTATTAGTACTGCATATTAAAAATAAAAATATAGCAAAATACATAGTATATATAATTAAAATATATATACAATATGTATCTATCTTTCAAGCTGTAAAAATCACATCTTGATTGAATTCTAAATAGCAAACAGATTGTGTAGAATACTTTAATTAAATGGAACATAAAAATTACAACAAAATGTAAACGTTGATTAATTATTAATTTATCAAAAATGACCTGAGCAGAAGTAACAAAAAAGAAAAATGAAACTGTTATTATGAGCAGAACGGTGGACAAAGGTCAGTTTAAGCAATGAGAGTTTGAATGTTGAGTTATGAAGACAATTTGTTAGCTACTTCAAGGGGTAAGAAATGTATTTGGTATTCTTGTATTTATGATCTAAGCTACTAATAAAAATCAATATAGTGAATTGTTTACTTTGTAGTTATCAAATAGGTGTAATTTTTCAAACATTTTTGCTTTTTGTAATAAATGATGTATTAAAAATTACTTTAGTTTCCATAAAGCTGTTAAGATCATAAATTACATCATTAATGCGAGAAAACTGTATCTTCCTACACTTTAAAGTGGTCGGCAAATGGCCTTCATAACACAGTCTTTGAATTTTAACCAAATAAATGCTGTTGTCTTAACTTTAAAACTGTTACTACTATGCTACAGTTCTTGTTGAATGAATGAATAACTTCAGAAAAGTTTATGGTTTCTTGGTACCATAAGCTTAAGTTCCAACAATAAAACAGAAATTTAATAACATTAACATGTATGACGATAAATGGTGATTGACAAGTTAATAAGATTAGTATTTTCTAATAGATAGAGTATTGTTTGGCTTTTTACAACCTTCCCTCCTTCCTATTTCTATTTTAAGCCAGTCTTTATTCAATGCCTATGGTCAAAATTTGCCCTCTGAAAGACTACTTGAACTGATTCTTTGTTTTAGTTTTAAAATATTTCATACATAATTAATTCTTTCAGAATATTGAAGGCAGGACTTTGTGTTTTCACAAGGTAGATTATGGAACAGCATCCATTATTTAGAGTGTTTGCTATTTAGGGATAAATATTACAGAGTCCTATTTAAACAGTCTGGGGGTTCATTAAATAAAGGTGACCATTATTCTGGAGTGTTTATTAATGGAGGTTTCACTGTAATTGAAGAATGTTACATAACATAACAACAATAATCAGAATAAAAAAAATTCTTTATTTCATGAAATAATTCTTCCATTTTTTTTTTTTTTAAATCAAGAAACTAAAAAAGAATAGAAAACTTATCCCATAGAGTTAATGATTCATATGGTAACTAGAAAACATGCTGTTTTAACAAGTAAAACACTTCCCTCTCTTTTTATTGAGAAGTATAAAATATTATGTGTGTTGAGTGGTATAAAAGGAAAGAAAGAAACTTTTGTGTAAGTTCATATCAACTTTAAATTTACATAGAGACATTATTTGTATATTTATTTTTAACAAAGGACATTTTCAATATGGGTTTCCATCATTAGTGATGCACATTTTGATTCACTTTGCAAAATTGACACGAAGACAATGCAGTAATGCAGTATTTCCATCAATGCTAGCACATCCATTTGTGATGAGTTGCTTCAGATGATTAACATCAGTGATTTTTACTGAATAAATCCTCTCCTTTAGCATATCCAGAAGAAGTAAAGAATATTAAGATCAGAAGAGTGAGAGGTCTAGCCATAGTGTTCAAAAATTTCCTAATCATTTGGAAAATTTTTGTTCCTTCAGCTTCATACCTGTGTGTCCAGACTTGTATATATTCATAGACTACACTCTCATATCAAAAATTTTGATTTTTTAAAAAGAATAATAAAATGTATGTATAATGACTGTTTGAAATAAAACAAAAAAAATTTGAGTTACAGTTATATTAACAATAACTAATTAAATACAGTGGGTGATCGGTTAACAAACAGTTCGGACTGTGAACAAATTGGACAACAAACACCTAACAGAACAAATACAGGAAGTGATAATGCATTTAACATTTGTAAAACTATAATTTAATGGCATCTATACATGGTTTATGGAATGAGACTTTCACAGTTGGTTCACATAACTTTTTTTGCACTAGTTAATTTCTGTTCTCTGAATTTTTGTAAGTGCTTTTCTGAACTTTTTATTTAAAATACTGATAATATGGGGCCTAAAAGAGGAGAGTCAAAAACTGTGTTCACTATAGAAACTAAGCAAGAGATAATAGCTAAGGTAGAGAGTGGGAAGATGTCTGATATTATAAGCAGAAGACTTCAACAGCTCTACTGTAAATACAATGTTAGCTAAGAAAGATATAAAAAGATTCAAGCAGATAAAGGAATAATGAAAATCACATCTGAGAAACAAAGATGTGCCGCCATTCATGAAAAAATGGAGATAGTGCTTTTAGTTTGTTATTACATGTAAATAAACATAGTAAGAAAGTATAAAATTTTTATTTATTTTTTTGAGTCTCCAGAATGAATTAATTCCACAAAAATCTATGGTAAGTTGATAATTGGTTAACGAACAATTCAGATAACAAACACGGTCCTGGAACGAATTATGTTTGTTAACCAATCACCCACTGTATAATGGAAATATATACATTTTTTACAATAAGATGTATTATTGAAGTGATAGAAAATATATGTTGAAAATATAGAAAATACAATAGGAATAGTATATAGTTTATAAAACAGACACCATAAAGGTGAGAACAGCTTTAATGGAGAATATATTCAATAAGAACTAGCGATTAAGAGAATTCATTATTGTTAATAAAAAATGGAAAATTTAAATGATAGAAAAAATGGAGATAAATGTATAAGTAAATAGCATTACATAGTCAATGAAAGAAATATTGATTTGTTATATGTTCAATTAAAGTACTTTAAATTTAAAAGTTTCTTATCTTTATCTATAAATAGGGTAGAGATATTTGATATAATTAAGTTGACTGATAGTGTTGAATAATAGAAATTAAAAAGTAATAATTTTATATATTTACTGTGTATTTAATTTTTTTAACTTATGGAACAGAAGAAATTTTAAAGTTAAACTTTTTTTAATATTGTTTTAAAAGTTTTTTAAAGAAAGAATGATAGTTCTATTGAAAATACAAATATAATCTGTAAACATTTAAAAGAAAAGTTCAGTTTTTATAAAATAAAGTTATTAATTGTTTTTTGGACATAATGGAGAGAGAAAAAAATAAACACATTTAAAAAGAATAAACTATATTATATTATTGGTTGTAATATTTTATTTTAAAATATAATAAAATCAACTACAGTTTTTGATAAAAATTTAATTAATCAACAATGTACCTTGAAATTTTTACCAGTGTGAATTACACAAAGGATAAAGTGTGTGAACACCACACAGACATACAGCATGCGAGGAATACCACAGCCCTTGCTATTTACGCAATTGATCCTGATATCAAGGCAGCCTTTAACCAAGCGAGGGTCATCCTCACTTTGCCTTACCCTGAACACCTGAGATGATTGTAGGCCATTTCTATTTATAAATCTAGCCTTACCACCACAAGCATCTATCACAAGGAAGAGCTGAATTTGTCAGTTGCTTGGCAGGCCCTGATGGACACTGATCTTTAATTGCCAACACAGCTACCCACCCACATGAATGTACGTGTCCAACATAACAATTTTATGAGACATGGATTCAATCTAATTTTCAAATCTTCATGTTCTATTTATTCTGTGTATTACCTGAGGAAGAACTTGAAGCTGTTTGAAAACATTTGTGATGTACAGTACTTTATCCTTCGTGTAACTCACACCGGTAACAGGTTCAAAGTATGTTGTTGATTTCACCTCAGTGTTGTTTGGATGTAGATGTTTACAATTTAATTAATGTTAGTTACCATTATAACAGTAATTGTTGTTTGTATTTTATTAGAAAACATAAGAACATCCATACTAGGATTTCTCATTTCCTGGTCTTTTGCTTGTCTCAGGATTCTGGGAAAAAAGTGAACTGTTTTCCAGGATCCATGCAACCTCCAAAATAATAATATTAATAAGGCTCTGTAAAATATGTATAAAAATTACTTTTGAATTATATAGAAATTTTCACAAATAAAAAAAATTTATTAAAGTTTGTTGGAAACTGCTTATAACAAAAAAGCCTTTGAATTGAATTGAAAATTTAAAGAAAAAATAAACTTAGATCAAACTTCTAAGTTAGAAGGTAATTTTTGTTATTTAAATAAAACACAATACAAAATATTATTGTAAATTTTTATAAGTTTTTAAAAAGCAAAGATAATCAATACTCCAATCACTCAATCTGGGGTTCTTATTTTAGTAATGAGACGTTCTGCTACCGAGAATGCCCCTTTTGATTCAATTGATGTGGGTGGAATCATCTTTAATGCATTTAAGAGAAGACAGATGTGTATTTTTTTCACCTGTAGCCTGGAAGATTTCAGATGCGTTACAGTACTTATTTTGTCATCTAGTATTCTTGATTTGTCTACCTTGACTACTTTAAGATGACATCAAGCTTATAGCCTGATAATACAGCAGTTTGTTTGGCTTCAATAATCAAGTTTATGAAGAAAAACTTCATACACGTTTATATCCGGGTCCAATTTGCACAATCTGGCATAATGCAGTTATTGAAGCTATTGGGCATGTTTAAAAATTAAGACAGCATTGATGCAATTATTCCAGATATTACAGGTTCTGACAAATAAAGAATTTTCAGAGTCTTACCACAAATAGGCTACATACTGATTATTGACAATCTGTAACATGCCATAACAAGCAAAAATTTAAAAAATCTAATAAGCATTAAAATTAATAAATACAAATGTATTCTGACAGTTTATAAGTTAATTATACTTTCTATTTGCAAAATTTCCTCAACCTTAACACAAAATAAGAAAAAAGTGAATTTTTAAGAAATTTGTGGGATTTCCTAGATTAAAATACAGCCAGTTGGAGAAGCCCTAATCCATACTTTAATATTTTACCATTTCTAATGGTAAAAACAGGCCCTGATGGACACTGATCTTTAATTGCCAACACAGCTACCCACCNAGATGAAGAATTATTATATGTATTAAAGGATTTTTTTAATAAATAAACTAGATATTCTTGAAAAATATTATGAAATACTATTATTACTTTCTAACTAAAATTATTTTAAATATCTTACGTTTATCTCTTGTCAGTTTAGGTTATCAGATTTTATAATAAATTAGGCTAGAAATTTATAATAAATTAGGCTAGATTTTATAATAAATTAGTTCACATTTTTTTGCTTTTTTTCAAATCAGAATTTATTTCCACTCATTATATCACTTTATTCATTAAATCTATGATGATTTAATTTTAAAATGAAAAATTAATTTAATAAATATTTTATTTTTTTTAAGGTGAAATATTAAATAATGATAGTGAATCATTACAAGATAGGATCATTGATTTAGAAAAGAAAATTCAAGAACAGGCAGATGAAATTGTATGTTTAAGAAGTACATTAGCTGATGTCCTTCGACGAGTTACTCAACTAGAAGGCAGAGGTAGGTTTTTGTTGTTGTTATAAGTCATTTTTGCCCAGTGAAAGACAGGCCACTAAGGGGTTTTTGTACTAAATGATGGAGTGGGAGAATTACAACTTTTTGCATATAGTAAACTAAAGATTTTTATTTTCCTGGCTGTTATATATAACAGAGGGAAAGAATGGTGACTAGTCAAAACATGACCTCCCAGGATTTTTACATTTTTGGACTTAGGACATCTTGAAACATCAAGAATGCAAAAAAAAATTGGGGGTAATTTCTGTATATATGGATGTTTGTGTGGGGAGGGACAATTTTGTTCACTCTCTTTGATAACTTTGGTGCTTTTTGTCAAACATTTCTGAAATTTGCAGGGAGGTTTGTGTATTGGGGATTGATGCTATTAAATTTTGGTGATTAAAGGTTGAGAGGTGGTGGATAATGGGGATTGTGTGTATTTCCAGTACGGTTGGACTTAATGATGATTTTACTCTTTAATAAAATTGAAGACAGTCTGCCCAATAAAGGACCACCATTTATTATTTCCGTGTTCCAGACAATACACATTCTTGGCAACAGACCTTTCCTTTTAGGCTACTTGTTGCCAGAAGTTTAAAAAGTCCTTTTAAAAACACAAAATATATATCCAATTAAAATTACAAATCATTTCTAAAAAGGAACTGGTGACATTCAGACGTCTTTCTTGCATCCATCATACCTTCGTTTGGGGTGATATTGCTTTTATCTACTAAAAAGAAGCACTGGAATATGTAGATTTAATGAAAGCTGCCCCCTTTGAAGTGCTAGAATATGTAGATTTAATGAAAGCTTTCATTAAATTTACATATTCCAGCACTTCTTTTCTTGGAGAAGATTTAATGAAAGCTTTCATTAAATCTTCTCCAGTGCTGACCACTGGCACAGAGGAGTTTGTTTAATTTATTGATATCAGTGTCTAGAAGATATGATTTTATAATATAAATTTCTATAGGTTTGACAGCTCTCATTCATAAATTAACATTCAGCTGACAATAATTTCTGTAAACTGATCAACAATCTAGATATTGTTTATATTAAACGTCACGTTTGACTACGAATGAGGCGATTTATTGCTGTAACCAAACCACGTGTCACATGCAACCAAAGAGGGGATAGGAAACATCTCTTATTCCCGTCTTGTTGATATTGATGTCTATAGAATTACCTTTAAACAAATGAAGGAGATTTCTTTTATTGATATACTAACGATTTTTTCGAGGAGATCGTCTCGGTCATCGACCGCAGAAGGCCCCCTTTTTCCCTTTTCCCCTTTTCCCCTAATCACAAGGTTTATTAGAGGGGTGATACTGTTCTAAAACAAAAGAGTTTTGGACCTTCACAGAACTAGACAGCTTATTTGGAACTGCTGATACTTGTCTCATCACAATTATAGTTACATCTAGGTGGAAAATGGTACTTAGCCATCAATTCTTCCAACAGATCAAAATATTTGGATACAGAAGGCCTATTGAACTTCTTCATTGCCCAAGCAGTTGATACATTTTCTGATTGTCTCAGACTGATATGTGGATGTCTATTCAGGAAACCATACAATCAATCCATTCCTGCCAGCCCTACAGCCTTGTTGAACTTACCTGTATCTGCAATCCCACTTCTCTCAGCATTTTGAAATATCAGTGATGGTCAAGCTCCATGACTCCAGCTACATTTCTCCCAAAACACACTGTCCAACCAGAAGTTAAAGAACCTACTCAGAGTGAAGTTCAGGTTATCATATAAAATCTCCATAATCACAAAGCTGCATGGACTGATAATATCAAACTCAAGCTCATCAAATATGGTGGGCAGCAGCTTGCAAAGACAATCCATAGTCTGATTCTGCAGATCTGGAGACAGGAAAGAATGCCAATGGAATGGAAGGAAGCAGACATAATCCCATCCATAAGAAAGGAGATAAAATGAAATGTAAAAACTACAGAGGGATCTCCCTACTCTGGGTGACATACAAGATCCTGTCATCTCTAGTTATGAGGAGATTGACTCCATACATGGAGGGAATTGTGGGTGAATATCAAACTGGTTTTCAAAAAAATAGAGCCACAACTGATCAAATCTTCACATTGACAGGTTTTTGAGAAGAACTGGGAATACAATGTTGACACACACCTGCCGTTTATTGATTTTAAAAAGGCATACGACAGCATCCACAGGCAGTGTGGAAGGCCATGAAGGAATTTGAGATAGCAGACAAACTCTCCAGAATTGCAGAAATTTGCATGAATGAGGTGTGGTATACAGTAAAAACCAGAGCCACAAGGTCAGATAGCTTCCAGAGCAAAACGGGACTGAAACAGCGAAATGTCCTGTCTCCTCTTCTCTTTAGCATCACTCTAGAAAAAGTTGTCAGAATGGCCTAGGAGGTAGACAATAAAAAGGAAAATGACTCAAGAAACAAACTGTCACTACTAGCATATGCAGATAATATTGTCATAATTGGAGAATTTCAAGGGGATGTGACGAGATTAACATCAAAATTAGTAACAGCTGCCAAGAGCATGAGTCTGATCATCAATGAAGAGAAGACTAAATACATGGTTATTTCTAAAAGGGAAGAATCCCACAAAGAATGTTTAACCATAGACAATATAACATTCAACACTACGGAATCCTTCAAGTACTTAGGGACTGACATAAACAGAAATAATGACATCAAGAAAGAGATAGGGACTCACTAAAGGGAAACAAAATCTACTTCAGACTCACAAACATACTAAAAAGCAGACTCCTTAGTAAAAGGACAAAGCTAACTGCATATGAGTCACTGATTAGACCTGCGATTCTGTATAGATGTGAAACGTGGCCAATGACAAAGTAGAAGGAACATATATATATCACTCATAAAACCAATACCAGCAAATAACAAGAAAAAAGGAAAATTTACAAATGTTTTCATCTATGTGAAATAGACATCCTCAGGTATATATGTTATTGAACAAACAGCTAACAAAAATAGACTGATTTTTAAAAGTTCAAACTGATTACATGATTCAAATACATTACATTAAAATTTATATTCGTAATCAGTTCGAACTTTTAAAAAACATTCTATTTTCATTAGCCATACTACAACGACAGAGATTTGAAAACAAAATACTAAGGAAAATCTTTGGACCTGTGGAAGACTATGATGATAATGGTATTGTAGTGCATAAGCACTACATATAGTTTATTCTGTTTATTTTATGTATATATGTCGTGTGCCATATCGGGTTTTATTGTAAAATTCCGTTTTATTTTATGATACCGGATTGTGAACGGGTGGGACCCGTCGCTCTTGTTGATTGGTCAGCGACTAACATCACGTGTAATTCACGTCATACTCAATGGCAGGAAGTATAAATATTGGGACTCCTGTCCGAAAGAGGACTTTTTTTCGGCTCCTGCTTCTTCAGAGGTGAGAACAGACCACGTGGTGTAAGAAGAAAGGGACTGACACATGTGAACTTTCGAATGAAGAGAACGGAATCTGAATCCATCGTAGAGAATACACCCGTTGTTCACGAAATAAGTAGAAGATATTAAAACAGGAAACATCGAAGAACCTCCAAAAAAACCATTATTTTTGTCTGTATGTTGATTATTGTGTATTTTGTTAAAGGAGAAGCAATATCTTCAATCCTTTCGCTCTTATAGTGTATGTGTTCCCTATCCTGTAAATTTAAATGGATTTATGTTCTTCTCATGTTGTTTAAATAGATTAATGTTTTTTGTATATATTTATGATTAAATCTTATTACTTAAATTCCACCATAATTGTAAAGTCCTTAATTTAATGTGTCTGTGCCTTGACCTTATGACCTCGCCTAACAGACCTAGGTCTATTGGGGCATAACAGTATTATGGTCAATGGAGAACCAATATGGAAAAGAACAAACTAGGAACTGCAGACAACCTATGACAAGCCCATGATCACACAGGTTATTAAGGCCAGAAGATTACAGTGGCTGGGCCATGTTGTAAGGCTTCCTATAATAGCAACAGTGTCATGAGGGCTCCACTATGAGGGGAAAGGGAAGAGGCCATGAGGCCATCCCAGGGAAAGGTGGATAGATGGGGTCACTGAAGATCTTCAAGACCTCAGAATCAAAGATTGGCAGAGTCAGACTATAGACTGAACAAGATGGAGAAGGATTGTGACTGCAGATAATGGCCTCCAAGGCCCATAATGCCAGACAAACGGGAAAAAGAAATGATGGCCAAGCCAAACAACCAACTTCTTATTGTCAGAAGATTGCCAGTTCTTGCTCTTGTTTACTGAAGATAGATCTAAAACATCCCAGATGTTTTTCTACAGCTTCTATGGAATCTTTCTCACAACTTTGGTGCAAGGTAGCTAGCAGAACATCTACAAACATCCCGAAACTCAATATATATTAGTAATATGTCAAACAAATGCCAGATTAAATTGGGCTATTTCTTTGTTTAATAAGAGATTGCATCTAATGCCTACCTCTAGTAACAAATTATTTAGAAATTAATTAAAAATAATAATAGAGAAATAGCCCAATTTAATCTGGCAGTCATTTGGCATATTACTAATAGAACATCATATTTTTCTAAGGCAGCTAGTAGTTTCATGGTATCATTTCAAACATTTTGGATTGCTTGCATTGAAGCATGCCCTCTGATTATAATTGTTGTGCAATTTTTCTCTTGTATCTACATATCATTATTACTACATATCCAAGCATGATTAAAAATAAAACAGAAAAAAATACAACTATTGAAACAGTCCTACATGCACTAACGTAATTTTCAATGTTGTACATTTAACACAAATTTCAACTTACAAACCAGAAAACTTGTTTATGAGCTGAAAATTTGCTTGTGATAGCCTCATTAAAGCTTTGTTTCAAGCAGAAACAAAGTGGAAAATTTTTCAGTTTGCCACTTTCCACTCTGTTTCATGAGTAACATAGACATTAAAATGCCATATCCTCAGACATTCCTGCGAATAAACA